AGTTCTAAAAAGAGACCTCGTAAGAAGGGGTTCATCTTTTTTGTGTATCTTTTTTTGGGCTGTCTTTTTTGAGGGAAAAAAGGTCCAGAGAAAAAGACTTCGTAAGAAATGGCCTGAGAACGCCTCACACACATCAAATTACTGCTGCTGTTGTCAACCAACTACTGCTTGCTGTAGAGCGTCAACTCTCCTCTCACCGTCACAACAGTCACACTCGAACGGAAGGAAGTCCTGCTGGTTGCAGTTCTCTGCTCCGCAGTGCTTCCCGACGCCCGTAAACTCCGGCATACTGGTCCGTGTGTAGTGTCTTCGTGGGTTTGGGATTGGACTACTGTCGAAGGACACTGTCGAAGCATGCGGAGGAATTGGGCCGAGGCCCCGCGAAGCGCAAAGAGGTTCAGCACAGGTACCCTCGTCAGTTGCTATTGGTACAACTTGCACCCGAGCGAGAGGTCAGGTTGACCTCCAACCTTCTCATCTTGGGGTATTGGCCTCTCTCTTGTGTACTTGCTCTCTCAAGACCTCTCGTTTTTTCTTGCAGGGATCATCGGGATAGATCAGTTGTGGATGAGACGACATGACGTCAATCGTGGAGCTGTTTCCGAAAGCGAGAAGGTTGTCGTTTGATCTGCGGACGTTGCTGCAGTACGTCGAGAGAGGACACGCGAGCCCCGACGATGCCGGCATGAACCTGGAGGAGTTTGGCCGGCAGCTGGACGTGTTGGAGAGCTTGGTGGGGCAGGAGCGGCCAACACAACGAGAAGACTGGCGCAGGTGTGGCATTTACTTGCAGTGTACGTAGATATCTACACGTCTGCGGGCAAATACACAGCAGTTGTTGTTGTTATTGTTGTTGTCTTCACGTTAAAAAACGTTCCGATCTCTCTCTACCCGTACCTGCGCATGTNCGTAGATATCTACACGTCTGCGGGCAAATACACAGCAGTTGTTGTTGTTATTGTTGTTGTCTTCACGTTAAAAAACGTTCCGATCTCTCTCTACCCGTACCTGCGCATGTCCGTACTGATACAACACTGGACGCGGTCGATTCCCGTGGTCGCAGGCTAACTTACCCTAAAAAGTTACGCTCAAATAAAATGGCCCCGACGGTCCCGAGGGGTCCGCAAGTCAGTAGAAATCAACGACAGATATTCTGAAGTCCTCCACTCCCTCTGCGCGCTATGCGAGGTAACAACTGAGACTAGGAGTCACCATCAGGGGCCGGAGAGAATGAGGTACACCCCCTTGGTTCAATCTTGGTACTTCACAACGCAAGCAGAAACAAGGCCATCTGGCACAGAAAAAGAGAGAAAAAGAGAAAAAGAGCAGAAAACAGACGGAAACAGTAAGGAGAGAGAAAATGAAATAAAAAGAGCGAGGACAAAAAGGGATCAGGCCGAAAATATCAAGAAATAAGAGACAGAGAAAGGCACACGGTGGAGAGACCACTAACGACAAGCACACACGCAAACATGGCCACCAACCAGCGATACATTGTAATGGTACGTCATCACTAGTGGGGGGGTGCAAAGCAGTAGATGTTCCGACAAAGACGAGGCACCTCTACCGCTGTAGTCAGCAGCAGTGCAGTCCGTAGGTGTTGAGGGAGGTACGGGTCAGTGTAGAGAGCACTCTTGTGCAATGCAGGTTAACCGAGATTGCAGATATGGAACTTTTGGATCTGCTCGAAAACACCACACGATGCACAGCAGTATGCATACAAGATCGTATGCAGATGTTCGGCTGGCACTCTAGTCTACTTCCTTTCAATCTATCTTCACTCCATAACGGATGTATTGGTCTTATCCCAGCATCGTTGGGTCTCGTTTGAGCCACTGTCTAGACGTCTAGAACACAGCAGTGTACGTGTCGTGGTGAAAGAGTTGTGAAGAAGAAACATTTTGAGAGTGGATGCACTGGCACAGCCGGGGCCGTGTATGGTGTGCGTCTCTCAAGGCGCGCTGGTATGGATATCATGGTTGGGTCTGGTCCAAGGTCCAAGAGTCAGCGTCACCCCTGTTCAATTGGCTTGCTTGCAAATGTAGAGCTTGTGATCTGATATGGGTGCGGAGTTTGGAGGTGCTTGACGACAGCAGTAGTAGCAAGGTGACCTGCAATATTTTTTATGTTTACCGGTCGTGCTGCTATGATCACCCCCTCTAGTGCTGATCGTTAATGCCGCTCAATCGCCGCCGCCACCCGTCCATCCTAGGAAGCTCCGGGAATTGCGAAACGAGCACGTTTTCTTGCGAGATCAGCTGGGAAGGTTCGACCAAGGGCGGCGAAAGGTCGGCCAGGAGGCCAAGGAACGGGAGGAGCTGTTGGCGCGAAGACATGCGGTGAGACTCGACTTCGGCTCTTCAGCGTTGTCCCTCAAGCAAAGCATACGTATTCGTTGGAAAAGTGATCGGCCGCATCGGAAGCCAGTGATGCTGGTAGATTTCTAGAAAATATGCCAACTAGTGCCGGTCGCGAAGACAAAATGGACTTTCACCTGTGTTTTTATCTGAGCTCCTAGCCTGTTTGTCGGATCATGGGCAGTTTAGCTGCAGTAGCTCGTGCCCCCGGAACTGATGCCTCTGGCCACCTCTTCGCGGTCCGTCCCAGGAGTGCGACGCCATATAAATGAAGAGTGGCTACGTGCGCGGGACCTTGTCCGTCGTGATATAGCTAGTCGTCAACAGCTTCTGCGTTGCCTCTTGTCGCGTATCACGAGCAGGATGGTTGTATCCTCTCGTCTTGAACACGAGCACCATGGTTTCAGTTTCTTGGCTTCCCTCATATCTTCACCGCCCATAGGACCGGGGCAGATTGTTATGGCTAGGGCTGTTGAAGAGTTTCTGCAGTCCGATTAGCCCTCCATGTACGGTATCGTATCACCGCCTCGTGCCGGGCAAGTTGTGCAACGTCCTTTGCAAACCAAGGATACTGGAGGGTTAGGGTCGCGCGAACGCAATTGTGTGAGAAGTCGCACCCCCAGTTGACCGACTATCATACGTAGCTGCCATTCCCCCAACAAGAAGCCAAGAGAGTGATGATGTGAGGATGGTGCCAATGCAGAAACTGTGGTTGATCTCCTCTTGGTGGTGAGCATTCGGGCCTCGAGAGTAAGTCGAAGGGATTGCGACCACTGCTGTAACACGTAACACTTGCGGTCTCCTATGCATATTTCTGTCTGTATTTGGAACCCGTATTTTTTCTGCTATTATTGACAAATTTGAGATGATTTTCCGCGTCTTGTGCATGCCCTCATCGCAGAACCCCTCTCCCAACGCCAACATGTTCGAGGTTTTCAAGTTTTCTGCGTTTCTTCCCACGCATCGTGTTTTAGACGTCAGGGAGGTCTCTCCTCGCGGTGTTCTATGCTAGGGCCAACGGAACTCGCACACCTTGGCGCTTTGTCCGAGTCACGACACCTTGTCAAGATAATTTCATTTTGAGGAACCGCATTTCTATCTTGACGGTGTTGAGTTCTGTACACTCACGAATAAAAAGGGCATTTTTACCAATATCCATGCACGCATCACGGCAGAGGTCGGAAGTTATGCTTGCCCTTGACTACCCTAAAGTCAAGATATGTCCTTCTTTGTTCGTATGCATTCTGTGGGTCATGCGACCATTCCACTTATTTTGGTCCCTCGCGGTAGTGGTGGTGACGTTGTTATATACAGGCCAACTACCCAAAGGCTGGGTATGAAACTATGATAGTCGACCGTTTGCCTTTCTCTACTCTCTCGTCTCTTTCGATCAATGATCAATGGCCAGGCTCTGCCATCATCGGTGATGGACGCCTACGCTGAGGAGGGGAGCTCCTTGCTGAGGTCGCGGAGAATGGTCGGTGATTACCTGCAAACAGGCCAAGCTTCGCTCACTAGTCTCGTGGAGCAGAGGTCGCGCTTAAAGGCGAGTAGGCTGCGTATTCGCTGGCTGTTGTTGGCGGCCTCGATGGTGTCATCTCTCTCTGATCTCCCACCGCCTCATGTGTGTGTCGGGGGACCTGGGCAAAGATTCGGGTTCGGGTTGAGGTTAGGGTCAGGGTTACCTGAAGAAGTTGTCGGCACTCTGCCGTCGATGGGATAGTTTTCCGTGGGCTTGGCTTAGTTTGGGAAAGACGCCAGTGTGCTGGGACATACATGCCTGTGGTTGCAGCGTCTTCTGAGTTGTCGCTCGCCCCACTGGGTTGCCCCCCCCCCCCTCCCTAAAAGGTTACAATCCCAGAAGTTATCCCAACGACGCTGACGTCCCCTGATAGCAGTGATTCTTTCAGGTCCTCGTCCTGCCGTGCATTTTGAGTTACTTAAAAGGGGAGGTGTTCTCCCGAAAATGTGAGGTCCACTCCCCCGGGAGGTACAAGTATGTCTACACCGCTTGTCCCAGCGACCATTAGATGCTGTTGTTGTCATTCTGTTGGTTGCTGTGCCGTCGTGCTGTGTAATGCTCTCCTTTTCCCCCTGTCGCCTTGGGTAGTCCATACTACGACCGAAAGATGTGTCGTTTTTGTAATGTTTTTTCAAACTTCCCTTCGGCGATTGCTCTCCCCGGGATTCTTGGTCCCTTTACCTGCGGTGGCTCAGAGGTTGGTAGGGTAGTCGTCACGATGGCACAGCACCAAGATGCCAAGATTCTGGCGTGACCGCAACAACTTCGACGAACACACTCGCCCTGCTGATGCCTCTTGTCCCGGGTGTTGATGGGGCCGACGTTATTCGCGCTCTTCTTTGTACCTCGAAACTTCAAAATGGCTGCCCAGTCCCAATGCAATGTGAAAGCCGGATAGTACACCATTGTCTTGTTTATGCCAACGGCGACCCTCCCCACCCACCCACCCCCCGATGCCCTGCTTTCGTACAATCACTTTTTTGTCCCTCAGAACGCACATCGAAAGGTGCTAGATATGGCGAACATCCTTGGCTTGAGCAACTCCATCTTGAGAGTGTCAGATAGAAGACAGGCCGTTGACAGGCTCCTGGTGCTTGGGGGCATCATCGTAACGTCTGCGTTTTTGTGGTGGATGTGGGGCAGGCGGGTTGCATCGTAGGTTCCCTGTTCCCCTGTGACCCCAAATGTGATGCGTGGGTCTTGGCTCTTGCTTGGTGGTGCGGTGCCTTAGGTGGCACCGGTCGCTCATAAGCGCAGGAGATACATCAACAGAGCACCGCCGTTGAAGTGTCAGCACTACAGTTTCTAGAGTAGTCTAAAAGTGTTTTGTTTTCGTTGTTGGTGCCTTGTACGCGGAGATTGACGTCTGCTCAATAGTTGTAGGGCGCAGCGCCTTTGCGGTGCGCAACTGATTTTGCGTGCCCGGGATGTTAGCTCGGGCGGTACCAGACATGAGGGACAACTAAAAGGAACAAAGGTCGTTTTTTTATATACCGTGGTGTTCTAGAAAGAGGTACAGTTGGGTTAGAACCGATAACATCGGCGGTTCAAACAGATACCGGCATCTTTCCGTAAAACTGGAGATGCGCGTTGATAATATTTGGACGCCCATGAGATGAGAATGTTCGTCACGTTCGAACAGAGGCCTGGTTTTTGCAGGATGGAACAGATGTACGTCAGTAGGCTGCGGCAGCACTCAAGCGCAGAGGCTCAAAACACGCGCCAGCAACAAGTTCAACTCCTGCAAACGGTGTTTAGTGTGTGTGTCGGTGGTTCTATCTCCCCTGTGTAGCCTGGACTTGGGCTGGACATTTTTTTTTTTCTCACCTTCCCTTTTCGGAAATTTACGGGAGGGACCAGCCAGGGCAACGCAGGGCAGAAGCCACGCAGGTCTTCTATTGTTTCACGCGCTCTCTCTTGATCTCCATTACAGGAAAGAGTCAATGCGGTTTCTTGTTTCTTACCTCCTGGTGGTCACATTGACTGTAGACTACACAGCGCTCTTCACAACGCCGGGCTCGCGACATCCTCAAAAGAACGGCCATCTTCAAAGGACTGCATGCCTGAGGGATACAGCCACCATTCAGAGCGTGAGTCCAATAAGAGGGGACAGAGATGGCCACTGGATTGATGACACTTGCTGTTTCTGAAATGGTTTTACTTCATGGGGCTCGCACTTGCTTTCGTAACAAAAACGGAGTGTGATGAACCACAACGCGTTTGCTTGCCTTTGCATCAAACCAAATACGTCCACGTATTGTAGTGCACAGATCATCATCGATCCTCCGGCGACAGCATCAGCCAATCTTTACCGTGGTTGTACTATTGATCACAAGAGGTGACGATGGGGAGGTGCCTGACCGCAGCCTGAGCTGCGAAGGTTGGAGGTGGCCGCGTGGTTGATTCAGCATCCCCGCTCCCCGGGGTTTCCAGGCCATTTCATGAGAGGCGTTCACCCTACGTACGTCCTGAGATACGGCACTACACTACGAGGTATACATGGAAAACGCAGGGAGATCAGCACCCACACCCTCTCGATCCCCCCACCCGCCTTTCACGGCCGCTCGCAGAACACCGAGCCAGTGTGTGTACAGAGGTACGGTGCTGTAGCACCGGGTGGGAGGGAGAGAGGCAATAAGAAGAAAAAGATCTGCATTTTTTGTTTTTCGCACAGAACAGCACGCGACGCGGGAACTCGCTCTCCGATCCCTGAGAAAGAAAGGATGGCTTCGAGAGAGACTGGCCGCCGGCTGCCAGAGGTGAGAGGTTCTCTGCTAGATGCGTTGTCTGCTCTCCCTCCCGTTTAAAATCGGTGGGATTCCAACTTTGACTTTATATTACCACCTCTCGACGTTGAACCTGGTAGAGCGAATAGCAGATGACGGTTCACGGTCGTGCTACTGCTGCTGTCTGCACGTCTTCACCGTGTCTTTGCGGGCGGGTGCCGGAAGACCCCTCTCTCCCCGCCGAGCTGACACCGAGGCGCTTCATGCGAGCGTAGTCTAGGGCGGTCCTCGGTAGAGATACACACTGGCAAGACCGCGAGACATATGCATACAGATGGCGCAGCCAGAGACAGAACAAAACAACAATAATGATCCGACGGCTGTTTGGTCCGCATCCGAACCGATCTGTTCTCCATTTTGTTGTTGAACCACCCCCCCGTTTACATCAGCAGTACAAGTATTGTAGTGTCGACGTCACCGCCTTCTACGTACACCATATGCTGCAGTAGCGCCGTGGCTTCCGAACTACGCTTTGGGATGAATAGGTATCCTCACAAGCGTTGTTGTGCATCGCCAACCGCCATTCGTGACAAGCAACGCGTGGGCCCCGCACTACTGATGTACTCCACCGGAGGCAGATGCAGCTGCGGATGTGCTGGCTAACCGTGGTCCTTGAAGTTTCTTGGTGGTACACTGTCCAAACTGCTGTTGAAACTGTCCAAGAGAGAAAACAAAAGCACGGGAGGGGGATCATCTCGTTGGCAACGCTTGCCTTGATCCGCTCCGCCGTTGACAGCAAGGTGTCCGTGGGGAGCTGCACATAGAACTTACGATTCGGGCGTGCTGTCGATAGTCTAGACCGTCACATCGTCCGTGTATACACTTGTTTTTTTCAAAATTGAAATCAAGCCCCACACCTGTAGACGGTGTACAATGTAATGTTGCGACAGCGCTACTGCAGTGGCACAGCCAGCTGCTGCTGTAGATGACTGCTCTCCCGAGTCCGTGTAAAACCAACAACCACCGAGCGGTTGTACTGAAACATCGAACACGCGAGCAGCACCGCCACTACAGTGTCACAGCAGTGCTGACGGCTATGCATTGCTCGCTCCCGTGGTGGTTCTTGCTTGACAACATGCAAGCTCAAGCTCCATGACAACAGTTTGGAGGGCAACATGCCTATGTACTGGCAACGCGCAGCCCAAATTGCTTGATGGCAACACGTCGGTGACAACCTTTTGATGACAACGACACGTTCGCTTTCCGTCATCGTCGACACGAGAGCAGTCCAGACTACAGCGGCGGTGTTTGGATGTATTTACTGGTGGACTTCTGTACATGTGATGTACACATCTTGCACTACGAAGGACACGTGGGAGAGAGTCGGAGACAGAGATGGAGACAGAGACAGAGGCAGCGACACCGAGGCGAAGTAAAGTACATATTCTCTGTACACGAGAAGTAACTCACAGACGTGAGGACCAGACCAGGAGACTCACCTTTCCGTATTCCATCTCGTCCTGTGCTGCTGTGTTTCTTCCCCCGCGCTTGGTAGGGGGACACTAGCGCGGCTCACGTGGACACGAATGCAGCGCCTTCGTCACCGACCTCAAGCCAAGGATCGTGGGTGGTAGACCCAGACGACGGCTGGGATGACAGCGGCAGCACCAACGTTGGCCCTAATGAGCTACCGCCATCGGCGGCAGTGCCGCCCTCCCCTGAATCTCCTCGCCGGGAGCACCACCGACGCACGCCGCTGAGCCCATCATCACCGCTTCGATCTTGGGCGCAGGTACCGATGTCGCCCCCGGCCGCGGAGTACCCGGCCATGACGACGAGCACGGCCAACAGCCCTCCGCCTTCTCCCGGCAGCGTCAGAAGCCTCAAGAGCGTCGGCAGCGTGTCCAGCGACGGCGGCGGCGGCAGCAGCAGGCGGTCGGTGGCCGGCGAAGGGCTTGTGGCACTGGCTCGCGACGAGAACCCTACTCTTGACACGACGGGAGCCCTACTCTTGACGCCGCGGCTAGCGTCGAAAGTCATGGACACTTCTGACTCCGCCGCGCCGACGGGAGCGGTGTCCCGCTCCCCCGCTGTGCTGGCGCCGAGATCGCTGCCCTTGGAGACGTTCGAAGCGCTCGAGGCCCAAGGGTTCTCAGGCGCGTGGGGGGGGGCGGGGGCGGGGTCGGCTTCCACGGGCCAGGACCGCGAGGTTGACGGCGTTGGCGCTGCGACGGCGGGCATGGACGTTTCTGGCTTCCCGGACCCGGCCGACGAGGCTTTCGTGATGACGGCGGCTCCGGGGATGACGGCCGCGGAAGCCGTGGAGGCGATCGCCGAGGCGGCGGAGCTGACGGGGATCACGCCTACGTCGGTGGTGCTTTCTCGCACGACCATGTCCCCGTCGCGGGCGTCGAGCGGCCGCCCGTCGCCGAACGAGGGGGAGGAAAAGGCCCAAGGTGTCACGTTTCGACGGGCTCACGGCAGCCCGGCGGCAACGGCTGCTGCTGCCAGGTTCCGAGCCAGGGAGCCCCTGCGAAACTTGTCTTCCAGCACCGCCAACACCGCCGCTGCTGGTGCTGCGGGCGTTGCCCGCGTTCCGGACATCGACGCGTCGAGGGTGAGAGCTTTGATTTGCTGAGTACATGCTTGTAGCCGTTCGTTGTCACCGTGATGCGATCCATCAAGTGTCGAGGGTGGCTCCTCAGTAGTTTTAATTTTTTGTCGTCCTCGCATGTGAGGAGGTGCTTGCGCCTCGAGGTGTGCCTCGTGCGCCGTTGCTTTGGACCATGATAAAGGGGGCTACGCACATTTTGTTTCCAGTAGTAGGTCCTGTGGCGCGCCCCGAACGGCTCGATACAAACCGCCTTGTATTTTTCTGTGCTGCTCACCAGTTACACAGCAACTTTAGCAATGTTATCCCGAACGTACGTTAGGGTTGCCCACGATGGTATTTTCCCATTCGTTCGTCGCTTCTCGCCCCCTACATGTACCAATCACAGAAAAATATAGTAGTCTGGCTTGTAGCACCGGTTTGAGAATCAACAAAGTCCGGCAATATAATTTTGATTTATGTGATGTACCCCTCTGCGCTCTTGTCCTTGGGCATCCACAGGATGAGTCGGTCACGGTGCCGGCAGCGTCGGGCAGCACGTACATCCCCATGGACACCGCGGTCGGCATGGGCGTCGACGTGGACGATGTGGACGGCACGTACGACAGGCTGTGGCGTTGGACCGGCTTCCTGACGGCCGCCAAGATGGGGGTCATCCCCATCATCGTCTGCGCCACCGTAGCCGCTCTGTCGACCCAATCTAGCAGCGGTGACCGTGGTGGCCGCGGGGCTGGAGGCGGGAGCGGGGGCGGCCGGGGCGGCGGGCGCGGCGGCGGTGGCACGCGGTGCAGCAGCCGCAGGCGTCCTCAGGGCGGCGGCGGCGGGGGCGGTTGCTTCCCCGACGTCCGCATCGACCGCTGCGTGTACGGTGGCATGCCCATGCCATACTGCGTCGCCCCCTCCGTCGCGTGCGCTTAGGTGTCTCCATAGGATGATGTCCAGCAGCGATCGGCGTCCGTGCACATGCGGTACTGGTACGTTGGCGGTCACGCTTGCGGTCGGGCTAATGTGGCTGCGTCGTCTCCCAATAGTGTGAGGCGTACTCACTCGTAGCGTGTGGGGGTGGAGCGTGAGCAGCAATAGCAGACAGCAGTGTAGCGTCCTCCCTGTTATTCCATGTCCATTTGACGGTTGCAGAGTAGCAGACGGGCAATCACTGAAATGAAAAAGATCGAGTGGTCTTCAGGATGACAGACGCGGTGAAAGGGGTCGAATCAAGCTCGACATGTGAAGCATGTAGGATGGAAATGTATTGTGTACGAAGTGCCGAGGGGTTAAACTGGGCGTAGGAAGGAGCGAGAAGGGGGTAGCTAGGTGTAGGGGGTGACGGGGTGGGACGTCGTAACGCGTTGTACTGGTGCACATATTGGGGTTCTTGTTGGAAGCTCAGCAGCGATAGCTCATGGACGTCGAATGTATAGGGGGGTGTGGCGTCGGATTCTTTCGTAGGCGGGATTGGGGTCTCTCCGTAGGCTTGATTGTTGAACTTTTGTACCACGATATATATAAAAGAAAAGCTCAAGCTTGAGCGGAGGCGGAAATGACATCGCAATGGGAAATTTCTGAGAATTGTTGGGGGAACTTAAGTTGTTCAGTATTCGCCTAGCGGGTCGTGTGCAGGACGGACGCCGTGTATATAAAATCAAATTCAGGGATCACCCACCGAAATACTGCAGCGTGGTGTCTGTCCTCTCGAACTGGCTTGGAGTGGTGTAGGCGTCAGGGTGGGTCGCGGTAATCCGCTCTGGCATTGTTGTCCTAATCATGTATCTCACCAGCCGGAACGGCAGCGGCGAACATTTTGGTGGTGTGTACATATCTTGGTCCCCTTTGTCCTTGTCTTGTTTATATTCTACCGCTATCGGGGTTAGTATGGTCGTGCGATGTAGGCGGGAAACCTTCGAACAACTCGAGTAGCAGTATCGTAGGAATCATTTTTCCGGCTGCAATAAAAGTGACCTTGCTGGCAGTAGAGCAAGAGCTGACTACAGTAGGACGATGCACGATTCTTTTTCCAGAGATGTCGGTAGCGGTTTACCCACCGGGCAGTGTTTCCATTTAGTTTCAGAACATTGAAGAGCAGTAAGAGGCCAGACGGTGGATGGCTAGGAAGTGACGGTGCGGGTATGTACGGTGGTCGATATCTCCAGGGTTGCAGCAGAGGTGGCGCCCAACCGAAGGGAGAAAGAAGGGAGTGCAGTGGGGTGTGATGACTGTGTCTTGCAGCTATGGCGCCACTCCCAACCCGGCTGATGATGACCTCGCCGAGCGTGTTTGGTAGGCGGTTGGTCGGTGCACGGTCCATACGTTATGTGCCATCGGCGTGTGGTGCCATGTTTTGGGGGCATTTATCGCAATCCTGCGCCTGTGCCATGTGGACAAAGTGGTCAGTCATTTGGGGATGTAGATCGGCGTTTGCGCTTTCTTATCATCGACTGTGTCCGCACGGCACTCGTTTGGCCACGGTTGGATGTGACGTGTGGGCGGGTTTCTGTTGGCGTGGTGCTTGTCTATCGAGCTCGCCTTCTTGAGGCAATCCCGCGGCGCAACAGATCAAGTCACGTGTTTCAATAACTTCTCCTGCTGTTTCCGCATAGGCCCCCGTCTGCCGAGACAAGTTGGTCGGGGCTCGAACCTCGCGGGCAATAGCGTCAACTACGCTTATGTTGCCGTTGATCGTTGCTCTTTGTCCAGAATACCAAAAAAACACACTGAAAAGGGACGAAGACGCCTGCGTGTCGGCGGGGCGCCTCAGGATGTTGCCAGGGAAAGGGGCGTGTCCGTGGAGGCTTCGGGCCGTGCGTTGTACTGTAGGGTATGGGTAGGATTGGGGGTGGTGTGTGTTGCATCGGCGATGGCACCCTTGTCGGACCCCAAGAGCTGATTGCACCGCCGCATCTGTTTTGTCCACTACAACAGCAGCTCTGTCCATATTGTATGTACGTTGCCGTTCCTAGGAGAAACATTTGCTCTTGCTTTTGCTTCGCTTGGCGCTCTGGTGTTGCCAGTTGTTCGCGCTGACTTGGTAGTGTAGGAGCGGATTGGTTCAAAGGCCCGCACTCTGACTCTGTAGGTATGACGCGTTTCGAGGTTCTCCAAGCCGCCGTCTCTCAAGTCTGGTTTCAATTTCGATTGGAATCGAGGCCATTTGTTTATTTGATTGAAGACTGGCTCTGAGCAATTTCTCGCGCAGTCAGAAATTGGCCCAGTACTGTGTTGTACAGAAGCACAACCAACGCTCACGTTGCGTTGGATGCGAAAAAGAAAAGAATGTGGCACATGTGATGCGATGTAGATATGATAACAAGCACAAATACCAACAGCGGTACCGCAAGTGTGTTAGCCGCGGACAAAGACGGGACTCGTGAACGTGCTCCTTTTGCCTCGGCCGATTCCAACACGAGGCACACCTCTGTCGAGCATGCATGTCCCCCGACCGGGTCTCTTGTTGGGTGTTGCCGGGTGCCTTCTCTTCTCCCAAACCCCAAGCCATCAACCCACGAGCTGCTGAATTGACTCTGATCTCCCCGGTGGTTCCCCAAATGCTAATCGTAATTTCTATCAAGCAGGATTAAAATAAACGGCTACTTATAGATCTATTGATTAATGTGACAGAAAAGTTATTAGTCTACACTGAAAATCCAATGAGCAGGAAGTTGGAACGCTTTTCTCTACAACGCGCACGAAATCCCAGCCAGTTCCCTCTCGGCAGTAACCACGCGTGACCAAAATGACATCTAGACCCAAGTCTCACGGCTAGCCTCGTCGACGTGACGGAATGACGGCGCCACACACTCCAGAGCACCAAACAGTGCACAACGCATAAAAATGTATCTGGAACCCAACGCCTCCTCCTGGATACTGCAAAAAATACACGTAATGAAAACGCTTCTTGGGATAGTTGCCCACTTCCAAGTATCCTAATAGTGACCACTGAAGGTGACCGCGTCGGTTGGGCCAGTACGGATCTCAGAAAGCACGAGCACCTGCGCGGTCGTCATTGTGAAGAGAACTACATGTCATCCTTTTACAAGCAGCCCTGCCTGCCACGTTTTGCAGTGCTTCTCACTATCGACTAGTCTATAACCTAGCCTGGGGGTGGCGTGGAGGGGCTCGGTGGTCGTGGCCTTGGCGTTCTTTACGCGCATCTTCTTTCGCCTGGTTCGATGTAAACTGCGAGATAGCCGTCTCCACGAGGGAGCCCTGACCGAACATGACCTGACCGACCATGCCGAAATGATCACCTTCCCAGACGCAGAAGACAGAAACGGTTTCAGTACGTACAGCAGTGGGGAGGAGATGGGTCAGAACGAAGTGCGGCGAGGAATGAAATTGAGTATTGCTAAATGGACGCCGCTAGGTTGAAAGTTTCTGAGAAGGAGACGCACGGCCACACGGGGTCGCAAAATTTCCACGCATGTCACGATACGATCAGCATAGACTCCTACCACGTGCCGATGTGAGTCGGGCAAGCTCGAACCAGTCAGCGAATCAAGTGCAAGACGAATATGTTATTGGCGCTCGCACGCAGCGAACAGCGAACGTCTCCTGTTTGTGCACCTGTGGCATCACCCTTACACTACATCGACCGAGCAAAATAAATGATGCCATAGTTGAGGTTGGGTCGTTTTCTCTTCCCTCCAAACAAAATTACAACCACGAACGTTCTTCCCGATGGCTCTGACACCAAGACATTCGTGATCACCGTGCCAGACTATGTAGCTAAGGGCAACGCTAGGCAACCAGACATCTCTGCGCCGCAGTAGTTGTCACAACTTGCTTCAGTTGTATTCCAACTATGCAAGGCTGTACCGTCCGTTACCTTGAGGCGAAGAGCGAGCAGACTTGCACTCATGCAGACAAATATGGACAGCGTGCAAAATATCGCTGTAGCGTGGGATTGCCTAACTTCGTATAAATAATAGTGTAACGTTTATACAACCCAAAGAACTGCCGGATTACAGAAGAAAGAAAGAGCATTGCATACATTCACGAACATAGGTAGGTCACAACAGCGTAGTGCAAGACACATGCGGCAACACAGCTGCTGCCCCATCGACGACTCAGAGCTGAACAAACCAATACTACGCCTCTTGCGTGTATCGACACATACGTATTAACGGACATGTAAGGATACATCAACGTACGGCTAATAATCTCTTTTTGCTACAGCAGTACCAGCCATTCGTCTCACCCCCTTGCTCAAAGCGAACCACCGTAGGCACCCCGAGCGCCCTGAGCGCGGCAGCCACCGCCGCCGTCTGCGAGAAGGGGACAGTGGCATCCGACGTCCCATGCATCACCAAAACGCGCGGCAGTCGCCGCCCCAGTCCTCGACCTCTATCTCCCGCCTCAGGAACGCCCTCGCCACCCGCACCAAGGGTAACGGGCCCTTCACCTGCCAACGACGAGCCTCCGTCCCGATGCCCCCCACCAGACATGACGACGTCACCTCTGGCTTGGGTGTCTCGAGGCGAGTAAGTCGAGGGTTCTTCGCCTTTAGGAGGGAGTTGTGCTCGAGGCTGTTGGTGCTGCGAAGACCCCGACGAAGGTGCCAGAGGGGGGCGGGACCAGGTCCGCGTCGCCCGACGGCTCCCAGTTCCCAGAAAACACTGGTGGGAGTAGTCGAAGAGAGTGTGGAGCCTGCCGCCGTTGGCCGCCTTCATGGGGGAGACCTCGTGTACACCCCTGCTTTGGAAAAAGGCCCCGGCCGCGCGCGGGCGCAAGTACGGCGGTGTCAGGTTCCCGTGCAGATGGGATAAGTACTACTGAAGTGCCCGCGTCGGAAGCGTGCTAGCACAAGCGGACGGCCTCGTGAACAAATTGACAAACAGCACAATGACAAATACTTTTGGACGTGTAGCAGAATTTGCATTGGAAGCAAAGGTGGTATGAGCGTCGACCCATGCAACAGCGAACCTCCTGTGCACGTGCCTAGTTGGGTAAAAGATGAACGTGTAGGAAGCCGGTTCTTGCTATGTAAGCGATGAATGCTTTCTTGTTCGCTGAAAGGGCCCAACGCAGCCGTGCATGTGCTTTCTCCGTTTCGGAGATTCATACGACAGAAAAGGCTCATCTGAACAGTTCATAAATGGATTGCAGTTCCAACTTTCAAGTACAACCTCCGAAATGCACCCGCCAATGCCTACTGAGCGCCGTACGTCCTCTTGCGGGCTGCTACCGGCCCCGCAGCCACCCATAAGCAACTCCCCCTACAAATTGCATGTGAGATTACGCCGTGCCCATCTGACACCGCTTGTTGGCAGAGAGGTCCGAAAGGCTTCAGTTGAGGACGCTCAAAATGTAGGCTCTCGACTTGATGTTATCCCTCATCGACTTTCCTTGCAGTACTGGTACCTAGATTCATGGTTGTCGAGTGCAGTGGCTACTTCGAGTGGGGGTGGCTTCGACACGCAACGTGGTGGGAAACACTGGCAGCACACATACATCCTGAGGTCGGAGCGAACGGCATAGCCAACGAACCTCCAAGACTCGTACAGGTAGTGTCGATGGACGTCGTACACCCCCGACAGACCAATGAACCCTTCCACCTCCAGCTGCCGCCCGCCGTCTTCACCAATAACATCGCCATCGCCCATATTATCGACAGACCCATGACAACCACCACCACTTGGCCTGTTCGGCAAGACGGTCGGGGCGTTGGCTCGTGCTGCATCCTCTGCCTCAGCCTTACCCTTCTCCTCCGCTTCTTGGACGAGGTAGAGCATCCCGATGTGCGCACCAGACGAGTGTCCCATGAGGTACACCTCGGGGTCTTGATCGAATCCCATCGTGCCGGTGTTGCGGGATATCCATCGCATCGCCTCGGCAAGGTCGTTCACCTTACATGACAGGTTGAGTGAGCGAGAGACACACACAGAGGGAGGGGAGGCGATTTGCACACCGCGGCAAGGGACAGGAAGCGCAGGATGGTGTCGGCTTCAAATAGAACACCTTCAGTAACGACCATATATTTGACACGAGAGGGGGAGAAAATATGTCCTCGTGGCTATCGACCGAGGGTCGTTGGTGGGGCCACATTAAATCAACGACACCCCGAGAAAGTGTCAGGCGCCAAACCACGCCGAAACACGCCAACAACAAGCAGGACACTGGCCGTGGGTTTCATCCGATCTTCTACCTAAAGGGCTGCATTGAGAGGCACCTGCGCGGGAAGTAGTGCATTCTACGAGCGGTGTGTGGCACAAACAATGTGAAGCGGATGGAATATCAACACCAAGCGTTGCAATTTATAGCAAGAAATCGAGGGCCCTTCGTAGGAAGCCGGTGCATACTCCGTACCATGTGCTATTTATTTAGTCCAACACAGCGACACTGAATGCGGCATCGGCACTACTCCTGTCATAACTATATCCGGATCACCCGACTCCATCGATCACCGATACCATCGATCACCGATACCATCATCACCGATACCATCATCACCGATACCATCGCAAGCAACGGCACTACCTTGGGCACTCCCACTACTGGTCCCGACGGCACTGTTTTAATGGTTCGAGCTGACCTGACCGTCTGTGTCGGCGTCTGGATGCACCCTATACCCCACCGAAGCGACGCTGTACGATCTCAGCCGAGGATGGTGCGAGTGAGAAAGCCTGTCGACCATTAGGCGGTACATCCTAACAAAGACAAGACAAACATGAAACGGGACACCAAACACGCAGCACGCGGAAATGCCCGGTGTGAGGATACATTTGCCACCACGGCGATAGTGCGAGAGTTGATTCTCCCTCACAGAGCTGTACATCATCAAGGCTTGCGAGAGCGTTGGGGACTGGGAGACAAGAACTAAAAAAAAAAAACTTGAGCTATATCACGATGCTCCGAGACAAGATCTACCCTGAAATTCCCCTCTGAGGACGCGAATGTCGAGCGAACCAGCATCGAACCAGTTGCTTGGGCTGAGTGCCCGCTAGCGTTCTCATCTCGCGAGTCCTGAAAATGGGCGGCAGAACAAAACTCCCGCCGCGATGGAATCACCATCAAGTCGGGGTCTCTTGTCAATCCCCGTCTTTACTTGGTGACAACTACCACATAACCGGCAACACGGTGACCGATTGAACCAGGGTGGCCAAGCGGAAACTCATAGCTTTGGAGAAAAACTGACTCTTTATCATTCTGACACGACCCACGGTAGGAGCAAGCTATTGTCGTGACGGAGGGATCGGACACGAGTCAACGAGTAACCAATCGAATAATCCAAGCACAATTGGAACAGCCAGAACAAGGCGGTATAGCTCACCAAGTGGAGCCAGATCCCCAGGCCCCTCCATGGACAAACACTATCAGCTTCGGCCCCTCGTCGT